CCTAGCTATAAAGGAAACAGACGAATAGCGAGGAGCACGTTTATTCCGTACATATATTGCGGATAAAGTGTACACGTAGGGGGCTTAATCATGATCAGGATAGCTGATTGGGTTTAACAAACCGAGGTTGATGATTGGTCACTGCTTATACGGTCGCTGCACACAGAGTTGTACGGCCGCACCTCCCAATCCTGGCGAGCAGACATGCAGGCATACGATGACGCACAAAGCGATAACGTGTCCCACAGTTCTCAACAAATTGAAAGATACACAATCTCGAAAAAATAGCACACAGCGTACGATTAAAATGCGCTCAAATAAAAAAATAATTCAAGCCATAGATTTAGTGCATAATACATTCATTAAAGTTTGCACTTTAATTTATTCCCAAAGTTGATCCAAAGCAATAAATCCTGCTTTTTGGTTATTTAGATGGAAAATATGTTTCACTGATTGCAGAGCAGATTTTGAGTTAAGTTAGACGTCATTATGAAAATTGTGTGGCTGAAGTATGCTTTATATTTACGCTTGAGGGGTGTGCGGTAGATATACCTCCATGTGGCGCAGCCTGGGCAACATATACTCATACGGCAAAAAAGTCTTTTGACTGACAGTTGGCTTCTGCCTTCTAACTACCATGACCCGACTCTATGTCATATTCGACCCCTTTCACAGTACTCACCTTACCTGTCATATTCGACCCCTTTCACAGTACTCACCTTACCTTATCTCCGTCTTTGTGTCTGTCTGTCTCTCTCTTTCTCTCATCTGTGAATCATGATTCTGTCCTTATTCTCGACTTTTTGTCACTTTGATGTCCCGGCTCCTCTCTGCGAAGCCCGAAGTCAGCTTGAAATGAATAAATATTTACGCTTGAGGATTTATGAAGTTGATTTCCAGTGGATTTTGTGTTTGCACAAATGAAGAATTTAAATCGCTTCATGAATTCAATGATATTCTATTTATCTTCAAATATTTATTGCGGATTATGTTGCCAAAATAATTCCCTTAATATAAACACCACTCTTGTTGCTTTTATATCCAGTCATACAGTAGCAATTTTCATGCTTTTTTAAATTAAAGAAATAAAAATCAACTATCAATAAATATTGGATTTTATTTAATGCCAATCAGATATGAGGATGTAATTAGAACCTATTCTTCATTCATTTGAAACAATATGAGATGTTGCTATTTTAAAGTGAATGACCTGAAATTAAACATGACAATACACCTCAAAAGCTAAGCCTAATAAGTAAATAAATAATAAAACTCATAATCAACTTCTAATTGATTATTTTTTTACTTTCAAATTTTCAAAAACAGATAATTACTCGTAGTATTTCGTTACCAAAAAAGAGACTAAATATATGCAATAGGAGATAAAAGATTATATAGTTTTAGTTGCCGAAGCTACTACAATGTTGGCTTCAAGTTGATTCTGTCACAACCATTGGAAACTCTATGACAAATCTGGGCAACGTTGGAAGGCGAGAGCTCAAATTTTTCCACAATAGTCAGAAATTGTTTCTGAAGGTCAGCTGAGGTTATAATAAAGGATCGAATGAGCCCTTAAAGTGAAATAGGCAAAGATAGAGCAAAAGTTTGAAGATACTATCAAAAATGTAATAGAGATCAAAGCGGAAATTAAAATGATTTTCCAAATTATGATATCGTCCCACCCCCTAAGGGCACTACGAAATCTTCAAGAAATTTTTATTCATATGTTTACATAATAATATGACTAAACAAGTTTGCTAACAAGCACGAAATGTACTTGGCTAAAATATCATAACACAAATAAAATACTACTGACTGGAAAAAGTAGACATGGCATCTCAATGGATATCGACAACTATGATCAAATTGAGGGGTGAGCTATGGACTTACCTCCAAGTAGGGCACCTTGGGCAACATATACCCATACGGCAAAAGTCTCTTGAGCGGCAGTTGACTTCTCACTTTAAACTACCATGAAACCTACTGTATGTCATATTTGCCCACTTCCACAGTACTCATCGTTCCTTTTCTCCGCCTATTTTTCCGTCTGTCTATTTATATCTTTGAATCACTCTTCTATTCCTCTCTCGACTGTTTTCGCTTTTTATCTTTTTCCTCTCTATGAAGTCTGAAATCGGCTAAATGGCTAATGGTAACTGTCAAAACGCCCGCCATTTAAAATAAATAAATGATTAAATTGATGTTTGTCAAGTTATACTTTTATAAATAAATTTCATTCCGCATTTTATTAAATCGCGATAATCATTAAAAAATAAAATAAATAATAAAGTTGCCGGAATGGAAATCCTTCGTCTCTGGGCAATATTATTTCAACAAACGCCAACAACTGCAACAAGGGTGAAGCCAACTGTGACAAGGTCAAGTATGCATAAAAGTAGTGGAAGAAAGAAATACCTAGGTAGTTTAAATATGACTGTGCTAATCGAAATTATCATCGATTTGCAGCCGTCTACTCTTCTTATTGTTTTTACTGTTCGGTTCGCTCTGTAAATTTGCAAGGCGTATGCTCACAATGCTCTAGTTTCCCTTTTTGGCACTATGATACCCTGACTTTTTGAAATGTTTCCATTGTTAATTGGCTAAAGAATAACTTCCATTACTGAGAACGCAGGTAATAGCATGCGTCTACCAAATATGAATGCGGTTGGTCTTGTTCTTTGCAAATAATTCACTTAAAGCAAATGACTGCGAAGTTTGAAAGGTGGCTACACATTTTCAATGAATATGAATTTGTTTTATTGATTATTCGGTATATGTATATATATAAATATATATATATATATATATATATATATATATATATTTCGAAGTTATTTCGGGAACTCCAGTGAGTTTTCCTATGGCGCGATTATATAGGCCTAAAGTTCTTTATCAACCTACGGAAAAATATTGTTGGAAGTAATTCAACCGACTTAAGAATCAACTTATATTTGAGCACCAAATGTTAACAATGCATTATTAAGATGAAAAATCCCGTTGGCGGTCAATTCTTTGATTTCACGGCTAGATTCTATCCATATTCGCGTTACGCAAATGTGCAACCTATTTAGAACTGTACTTATTCCCTTTGCATAATAAGAAACTGTACAAAGTTTCATTTTGCTGTAAATTACCACAAATAATTCCATAACAAAACACGAAACTATTATGTCCTACCTGATTACATTCTTATCAGCTTTTCGAAAGTTAAGAAAACAGGTGATTTTTTAAAGACTGTTAAGCATAAAACAGGAAGAAATACTGTGGCTATAGTGATGGTTAAATGACTCATTTTAAGTGACTATTCGAAGAAACAAAAATAATGCTGTTTCTATTGAGAAGGGAATGGAGGGGAAGGATAATTTCAAACGAAAAAATCATTGGGTTTTAAAATTCGAAAATTCAATTGGTTGAAACCCAAATTTCGTCGATCGCAATTTGTAGTTCTAACTTGCTAGCAGCCCCAGTTAATTTCCTCCCTATTCTTTGTAGAAATTCAAATCAAATTAAAATTTTTATTGTCAAACCTAACTTCAAATTTTGATGAAGAATGCTGAGTAGTATTAGTAATTATTTTCCATGCATTTTCTTTTAATTATATCCTTTTTGAGGCTTTGAGTCATTGAACTACGGAATGCGCATTAAAAACATTAATTATATGTAAGCACTATGATAAGATTTCATTTTTCCATATAACTTAATTATTTGAGTTTATTTAATTAAACAGCTTGTTAAATAAGGAAAACAACATCAGGTGATGAGACCTTGCTGTCAAGCCAACCCTTACAGTTTAGCAAAGACCAAGTTCAGGTCAAGTGGTTGCTTGACACTCATTATTTTCTCATCCTTAAAATTCCATCCGAATGTTTCAACGGCCAACATTATTTCCATATCTATGAAAGCCTAGATTTGTTATTATACATTATCCCTAGACTCCAATAACTTTAATCGTTCAATTTTCACAGTCATTTCTACAATTCTTCTGTCCATTCTTGTACCCCGTCCACTTGCACCCCACAGCACTTTACGCCTCAATATCTGATGATGCTACCGACCCTAAAATGACTGACGTGTAGGTTCTGCCCTAAATTTGACTTTGAAAGTGTGGGTGTAGGGAAATTAATATTTTTAATTCAAGATTTCTTATTCATACAATGCGTAAGTCAAAATACGTTAAAGCCCATACGATGACAGCTAACAAGAGATAGATTCTTTCGGTTCTGAAATTTTGACTATTTGTGGCCAGAAATTTGTTACTTTTGATAACTGAGTTTAGCATTTCAATTTTTCTCTTATACTCGAGCAGATGATAATTAGATTTTTGGTAAAGTTTTAATCCTCTCCTTACTTCGTCTTAGTTAATTAAACGTTAACTGCTGTCAAAGATTATTCCCAAAAACCGATATTGCGTAATTTGAAGTAAGTACGTCTTAGTATAATCTGTTAAAAACACATTCAAGGTAAGTAGATTAATTATTTAATTAAATATAAAGATGACCAAAATTGGTACAAAGTTTTGAGTGAATAATAAAATAAATATCATATTTTATTAAATTATGTATTTAATCATTTTCAGAATATCTTACAGTGGCATTGAAGTTTCAAGCATGAGCTATGGAAAGGTAATTAAATATTCCATCAAGTGTCAATAAAAGTTATTAAATAAACAAAATATCTATAATGCCAAATATTTTAACATTAAGAAAGAAGATATATATGGTTTTTCTTCTGGAATCAACATAATAAACTCAATTTTCGGCCGCGAGAAGAAAATAAACAATAGTAAGGACAATGGACGAATCGCCCTTTTTTCTTATGCTCCTCGGAATAAAAGGAAGGTATAGCCTTTCAATTCAAAGGAGATCAAATGTTTTTTTTCGTATGCGAATGACCTATAATAAGTACGATATAAGTATAGTGTCATTGAAAAGAGCATAGGTATAGGCGCAGGTGAATGACTTACGTTCCAAAGTCCTTTCCAACAACACAACTCCACGAGGGTCCGTAAACACGATCGAAATGGGTTCTCACATGTTTGGCAATGTCCATGTATTGACTATTGCAATGGAGGGCCTCGTAGGCATGGTTGACAGCCTCCTGTTGCATCTGTTCAAGCATATCCGCTTGTTTCACATAGGCCTTGGCATGAGGCATGATTGTTGCTCACGGGAGAGTTGCAAAATATTAATGATTCACAGAGCAAATGTGCTATCGTTTTTCATTCACTAGACAAGCCAGTCATTTTGAAGGTGAGCTCGCGCAAGAGTCCTGGTGCGTGCGTATTGTTAATAGGCCTTTTTCACTCGCTAAACCACCACCACACGACTCAATGCACATTAATGATTGCGATACGTAATACCGGCTCACGTAGAAGGCCCATTAATTGAATTACTTTGTGAAGAGCTCTGAATGTGGCTCACTAACTCAAGATTCACACTGCTAATTGAAGTAAGACACAATCAATACGAGGTCTCTGGGTGCGGTTTGAAGGCCGTGATTGACTTTTTATTTTTCTAGGCTTAGATATTAAAAACTCGAGATAGCGCATTAAAATTAATCCGTTTCTTTCTATTTGACGCGTGGCAAAATCTGTCAGATCAAAAATTTTATACTTGGCAATGTACCATGATGATATAGGTCATTATTTATTGAAATAGTTGTAAGCAATTTATTAGCGCCTTTTATAAAAGTCGCTGAATCTTCTATTTTTATCATGAAATCTTCAAATAATAAAGTATCTTCAATTTTATTTAATATTTTTGATTAAGAGGTTGCATTTTAGTAAGATAAGTTATACTGATTGATTGATCGATTAATAACGTTTACTGACTTTCCGGTAATTCATTGATTTTTAATTATATTTAGTTACTATAAAGCGTTTTTACACAATTTCATTTATCTGAAACAATTTGAATAAACGTGATATCACAATTAGCTACCTGGCTATTAACTCAAAACATTCGACCGCAGAAGCTACCAAGTATTTATTGCATTGTCTAGCGTAACTATCAGGTGAATACAACTTTATCGTTTGCGGTTTTGTCATATGAGGCAATTGAGCATAGAAATCATTTTCAGTGAAAAACGAAAAAGTAAAGCTTCAAAAAAATGTTCAATGGGATAGTAATCAATCATATTTAATCAACTTTTCACGTTGCCTACACCCCAGTAGGTAGCTTTATGATCCAATGAATCAAATTTGTATTGCCTTTGTGAGTTCTAGACTCAACACCCAATTATTTGTTACGAAAAGGCGCACAAGAAGTAAACATCGACAAATCGAAATGAAAGAGGTAGACTACGTAATTGGAAATGATGTTATGGTGTTATAAAATTTCATTTTATTTAACTGTTTAATTTATATCCCAATTAAAGGGCAAAATTCATTGCTTCGCATACAAAGGTTCTGAAGTTGACATCTGACTATTCATTGTTCGGCATTCCTTGTTACACAGGTATAAGGTAACTAAAGAACTTTAAGCAAGTAACTTCTTTAATTCATTATTCTAGGCATTTAAATTCAAATTTCTCTTATGCCAGCAGTTACCACAATTCTAACACTAATTGGCCTTCATTATCATTACAACCAATGACAAAGCGAAAATCTTTTTTTCAATTGCTAATCGCTATGTATATAATTAGAATATACATAGTAGTGAAGTATCACATGCGTATATGTGAATTGGTGTCAAAGTAACGTGCTTTGTACTCTTTCTGAATTCTGGAAGTATTTCAATGCTTTTATTCTCATACAGAGTTAACTTACACCGATATATCTTAGCTTTACATAATTTTGTTCCACGATATGATGCTTTAGTTTCTAGGCAAATTTCGTTTTTTTACTATTAATTTATTTAATTTCTGTAATACTAATTTCCGATCCGTTCATCTGAGTCGTTGTATTGATGAGTTCCGTAAGAAATAGTCTATCAAAAATACCTAACATATGAGTAAACTGAAAAAAAATTATAAAATTTATCCACATTTAACCTTCCTTTCCTTCTTGAATGAATAAAGATCAATTCTCTCCCATTTTGGAATGGCAGCCATTCAAGTGGATATATCTATTTCCTAAAATAGATAACGAGTGAGCGATAGACTTACCTCCACGTGGTGCACCCTGGGCAACGTATACTCATACGGCAAAAAAGTCTATAAACCGGTAGTTGACTTCCGACTTCAAAACACCATCACCTCACTGTATATCATATTCGACTGCTTCACAGTACTCACCTCACCTTTCTTCTACCTTTGTGTCTGTCTCTTTTACATCTTTGAAATACTCTTCTGTTCCCCCTCCCCCTCTCGAATTTTTTTCACTTTGATGTCCCTTCTTCTCTGTGAAGCCTGAAGTCAACTAAAGGGCTTATGATAACTATCAAAATGCCTGCCATTTGATATAAATATATTTCTTAACGATAAATCTCTTAATGTGGTTAG